GTTTACAGCAGGAAAAATTGGCAAAAAACCCTATTCGATTGAACCCTTAGCCTCAGATTTGACAGCGTATATCAAGAAAACTGAAAAGAGTCTCAAAACATGCACTTATAAATTCCATGCTGGTTTCTCTATTTATTCTCTATAAATTATTCGATGAAGATCCCTGCATTCTTTTCTTTCGGTTGAGTCATTGATCACAGATTTGGTAGGGTATGCCAAGAAAGAGAGTTTTTTGCAGAGTGGCAAAAGGTCCAAAAAATCAATGCCCATACTTTTTTTTCAAAAATAAAAGCGAAGCTGTTATTTATGCAGAGAAAATTTCTGCCACCTGTTCTATTGATTATTTATCAATCTCGTAATTGACAAGGTAGTTCAAAAAATATTTCAAAAATTGAATACCTTATAGTCCATAATTTTTTCTACAACAAAAAAGATTTTGCGGTTTATTCAGCAGAGCCCCATAACACGTGCTATAAACATTTAATCTCATATTTGAAAGAGCAGAAAAAAGAACATAGCAAAAACAGGACCAAAACATGTCAAACTGAAATTTTTGAAGGCCCTAGAATGTGAGAAAAAAAGACAAGCGTAATATGCAGACACTCAGTGACGTAGCCGGTTTTTCCGTTGCGACATTGGAACAAATTAGCATAAAAATTGTTGAAGTTGTTTTCGAGTAGAACTAAAACTTCCAAAGCGTCTCAAAAAAATCAAGTCCATTAAGTTTTCATAAGAGCCCATTTTTTTAAACAGGAGCCTGTCACTAACTAAGCTTAATTGAAAAATGCCAGTAGAACTATTGAATACACGATAAACAGAAACAGCATAAGTGAACACTGCAACTGAAAACATATTGGCGACTTCGGTAGGAAAAAAGTGGACATCGTAGTACGACACCACGCTCTGCTTGTGTAAACAGTATGTTCTCAACCTAAAAAAGTTGCCGGTTGTAAAAATAAAAGTTTTCCAAAACTTATGAAAATTTGCTTAGTTGTTTTTGTCTCGTTTGGCTGCTGATCAACCTACATGATCTTTTTCCAAATCAACTACAAAAAATTTACAGATATACCCATATTGACCAAATCTATTTTTCAATTTTAACTTGTATACTCTCCTCAAATTGCATACTCTCCTCAATATCGCGCTTATCCAAATACCAAGAGGCCACTAAGTCGAAATGCAATAAAAAATGGCTGTAAAGAACAAATTAAACTTAAAAAACTTTTACACCCCTCGATCGACACAAAAAAAGTTGACTGAGCCGATAAAACATAACACTTTCAACTACAATGAGTAACAGACATAAATCAGAAGGAAGAAAAAAATTAAATGTAACAATTTGCACACAGAGACAAAGCAGATAGTTAAAAACCCTGAAGGAAACATGAAAACAAGAAAACAAATGATTTGGAAAACGCAAACTTTGAAAAATAATATATCACGCTGAATCTCCTTGAATTTTATATTTTTTTATGAATGGCACTCTTAATTCCGCTACGAATTGGGAAAAAATTCCTTTTTTTAAAATTGGAAGTCATTCACGTTCTTCGCGACCTTTCCACCTTGGCTGCTAAAAAGTAGAGTTTGCGTCAGTAGAATTGGTGATTCTACTGTAAATTCAACTAATTGCGAGTCGCCGTGGACAGCATCATCTTGGGTTTCTAGAGGTTTGGAATTGCACGCAACTATAGGTTTATGGCCCAGTTGAGTGATTTTAAGCCTGCCTGAGGAGACGAATCAGGACAATCAAACTTAGGGAAAATTCAGGTTTTAACGTCTTTATCGATACTTTCCGAAAAACCAAAATTTTAGTTTTTATATACGAGTAGTAACACCCTCGAACCTCACAGGCTGGCAAGAAATTGGTCCACTAGGAGGTAAAAACTTCCCGAGATCTGGTGCCCGTGTATTAAGATAAGCTATAAAATAATGAAAACCCCTCCCACCGACAACAGAGAACGAATCTGAAAAAGTTTAATGTAATCATTCCCAGAACCCAAAAAATGTGCCTGCAAGAAGTCGTTCCACTACGCGGTAACAACTTCTCGAGGAGAATCCAACTGTTGCCCATGTATTAAGATACTATAAAAACTTGGAACCCCCCCACCACAGCACAGTGCAAATTTTAGTGCCAATCACCCTTATGGCTATTCAGAAACACGTGCAACCATAGAATACCAGGAGATAAAAACTTCAGATATACAGTGCTGACAATGCCCTAAGAAAAAAGCCCCCATACCGGAAGTCATTTCTCGGGCCCCACTGAACGCAAGGAGCCAAAGGTTAGGATATGATAAATAATGGCAAGGGATATCAAGTATTAAAATTTGAGCCAAACTCGATGGTTGCACTGAAGTTATAATCACTTTAGCAGAAGACCCATTAGATCGGAAGTGGGCAATTTACACAAATAATGAGCAAGGACATGATGATTTTGAGGCAATAGAAACCCGAAAAAGATGGAGGGAAAAGAGATAATGGAACTTAGAAATGGAATATGAATGAAACTGTAGGTAAGACCCCATGGGATTCTCAGCCTGGATATGGAAGATTGACCCCGCGCGACCTCCAAAAAACCTTAAAACGTTCAGGACCAAAAGTGCATAGAAAACCTCGGCATTAGCACTGAAAACATACGCATTTGCCGGCCTCAACCCTTTGAAATTGTTAACTGGTCACGTAACTTATAATTGGGAGGAAATTTATCTACTGGTAACTGAAGCACAAGCTGTAATGCATACAGCTTTAAAATTGAAGTAGTTCAATAAACTAAATTGTCGGGTTCAGCTTAGCTTGACGAATGAGCTGTTAATAGAAAATCAGGAGGACTATTTTCCTTTAATCTTTAGAGAAAAGTGACAATTATAGAAGCAAAGCATGGGAAGTAGATCTTAGGTCTGTTAAGTGATATGAATGGGCGGGATATTAACTTAGCTCCCGGAGGTGACTTTTGGCCCAATTTAACTCCTAAGAAACTAATTACGTTCCCCTAATAGCTGAAAGGTCGGGATTGAAATAGAGTATGGCTGGAAATTTTGATGGTGTTTACAGTGATTTAGCTACCCATGAAAAGGGTCTGACTCTAACCCCAGGAGGTCGGAATGTTAACGAGATGATCAAACTTTGGGAGATCAGTTAGTTAAACTTAGCTTGGTTTAGAGGTGAAATTGGACTTGAAATCTGCGCAACTTAGTTGGAGACACCTATGATGCGTTGACATTCATAACTAGAGTCGTCAAGGGAAATTTCCAGGAAGTTGCGCAAAGTGTACTTGTAGGGACGATCACAACTATAACTGAGACTCAAATAGACAAACATAGCGAAACGGTTACGAGGCACCTATGATGAGTTGGCATTTATAACTAGAGTCGTCAAGGGAAATTTCAGCTAGAAACTTGCGCAAAGTGTACTTGTAGGAAAGATCACAACTAAAACTATAACTAAAACTCAAATAGAAAAACATAGCGAAACGGTTACGGGTAGCCTATACTTAGTGAGAACAATTGGCACTAAATTAGATTGTAAATGATTCTCATCAGTAGGAGAACAAAACTAGCTACTAGCGAGAGCAGTTGCGTTCTCGTAGTTAGTTGGAGAACAGTTAGACACTTGTGAGTATAGAAATTCTCCCAAGCGAGTGTAAATTCATCAAAATAATGATTTCTCAAGAGCGAGAGATAGTTGATTGAGCTATCGAGGATAGCAAGAGTTCAGAGAGTTAGTTAGTGTTAACGGGAAGTTGAATTGCATTCGGAAAAAGGTATTGATTGATCGCGGACCCGTTTCTTTCGTTAGATTATTTGCCTACTGTATTTGGACTTATATTTATCTGAACTTAATTAATATTGGAGATTCTTGCGATCGATACAGCCACAAGAACAATACGAAGAGGCGAGTAACATAGTACAGTAGTACAATTACCACCAACTTAACCCTTTCGGGATTAAGGATAGTAGTGAATCTCGGTCGCCCTGCTGAACTCACTACCCAAGGGACCACTTTGCGGTGCCGTTAAGTGAAGAGGGAGAACGATCCTAGAGAAGCAATCCCTTAAATCTACTCCTACCTTCTAATGAAAGAACTCAATTGAAATTTCAAAAGCCAAACCGCTAAAACTCAATTTTGAGCGTAAACAAACTTTGGACATTATCTAGGAAAAAATCATCAAGATCTATGTGTCTTTGAAACATCCATTTGAAATTAAATCAGACACCCACATCTTCACATGAATCAAACAATTTTATTCAGGCCATAGTATAAGGGCATGAGCTATCTGCAACTCACCGTGCCGTAAATTCTTCGAAATAAGAACAAATAGCCGACTACGGATTGTGAAAGAAACGGCATACCTCCGGATTATGGAGGATTCCTAGCTGATTTACGTTTTACACAACTAGTTTTTTTTATTAACCCCCACCCAGTTCCTCCCAGCTTTCAATCTTGGACCTTTTACTCCGTGGAGGAAAAAAGATGTCATCCATTTTTCCGCAGCCGGTCCCATCATGAGGAGGCGGATGACACTGGAACCATAACCGAACCGGGTTATGAATTTCTTGCACAATTTATATTTAAATATCAAATAAAACTAAGCAAATTGACCTTAACACTTTTACTGTTCAACAGTGCAGTTTGCCTTCCTTTTAACAAAAGAAATGAACTGAAAATGAAAAGAAATCAAAATTCAAAAGCAAAAAACTAAATTGAGCTTGAACAAAAAATTTGAGCTTGAACCAAAAAATTGAAAAACAAAAACCATCACGACCTAGAAAGGAGTCTTCATTACGTTCGACACTAACATGGGAAAATGACAAAAAAAACAAGTAAAAAAATTCCGAAAACGTGTATCGAAGTTTTGTACAGTAATTGAAGTACTCTTTCTTTTTCTTTATGTGATGATTATAGACTATAATGAGTACATAAGACAGATAGTTACGTTGAAAGTATTTGAACAAAAAACAACCTGCGCAAAGAATGGGTTATGGAATCTTCGCCCTCCTTACCTGACACGATGCATGTCTGTATGGTCAGCCGCTCGTCCATGCCACTCAGTTTGTCTGGCTGCAAATCCATGTTGGCTTCAGCCGCAAACGCTTCAGCTGCTTCTTTGAATCCCTCTGTAGAACACGAAAACAACATTTACATAAACTGCCGGGAATAATAAAGGACAGTTATAAGCACGGATCAAAAGAAACCATTAGAATATCAATCAACCTTATTCATATAGGAACATATTAATGCAAAGAAACACCCATGCCATCGGTAGTTATAAAAAAAACTATAATCTGAGCTTTCTTCTGTAACAGCAAACCGCGCTGCTCAGTTAACCCGCAGCTTGGTAAGCACTGCTGTGAGTCATATAGGACAGTAATTAACATGATTCGAAAACAGTGCTATCGGTGAGTCCTGATATAATGCGAATAATTGATGCACATTCATGAGAACGCGTTTCAAGCAGAGCAGAAACAATTGGAAAATTAATCAATTGTATTCATTTAGGAACATATCAATGCAAAGACCAAAACCCATGCCATCGGTAGTTCCAAAGAATTATAAACTGAGCTTTCTTCTGTAACAGCAAACCGCGCTGCTCAGTTAACCCGCAGCTTGGTACGCACTGCTATGAATCATATAGGACTGTAATTAGCACTGTTCAAACACAGCGCAATCGGTTAATCTTACAATAATGTGAATACTTGATGTATATTTATGAGCACACGTTATAAGCAGAGCAGAAGCAATTAGAATACCAACCAATCTTATTCATATAGGAACAAATTAATGCTAAGAATAAAACGCATGCCATCGGTGGTTCCGAAAAACTAAAAACTGGGCTTTCTTCTGTAACAGCAAACCGCGCTGCTCAGTTAACCCGCAGCTTGGTACGCACTGCTATGAAACATATAGGACAGTAATTAGCACTGTTCAAACACAGCGCAACCGGTTAGTCTTAAAATAATGCTTGGTAAGCATTGCTATGAATGGTATAGTACACTAATTAGCAAGGTTCAAAAACAGAGCTATCGGTAAATCCTGATATAATGTGAATACTTGATGTATATTCATGAAAACACAGTTCAAGCAGAGCAGAAACAATAAGAATATCAACCAATTGTATTCATTTAGGAACAAACTAAAGCACAGAAAAAAAACTAAGTCATCGGTAGTTACAAAAAAAAAACTATAATCTGAGCTTTCTTCTGAAACAGCAAACCGCGCTGCTCAGTTAACCCGCAGCTTAGTAATCACTGCTGTGAGTCATATAGAACAGAAATAAGCATGGTTCAAAAACAGTGCTATCGGTGAGTCCTGATATAATGCAAATAATTGATGCACATTCATGAGAACACGTTTCAAGCAGAGCAGAAACAATTGGAAAATTAATCAATTGTATTCATTTAGGAACATATTAATGCAAAGAACAAAACTCATGCCATCGGTAGTTCCAAAGAATTATAATCTGAGCTTTCTTCTGTAACAGCAAACCGCGCTGCTCAGTTAACCCGCAGCTTGGTAAGCACTGCTGTGAGTCATATAGGACAGTAATTAGCATGGTTCAAAAACAGTGCTATCGATGAGTCCTGATATAATGCGAATAATTGATGCACATTCATGAGAACACGTTTAAAGCAGAGCAGAAACAATTGGAAAATTAACCAATTGTATTCATTAAGGAATATATTAATGCAAAGAAAAAACCCATGCCATCGGTAGTTACAAAAAAAAACTATAATCTGAGCTTTCTTCTGTAACAGCAAACCGCGCTGCTCAGTTAACTCGCAGCTTGGTAAGCATTGCTGTGAATGGTATAGGACACTAATTAGCACGGTTCAAAAACAGAGCTATCGGTAAAACCTGATATAATGTGAATACTTGATGTATATTCATGAGAACACAGTTCAAGCAGAGCAGAAACAATAAGAATATCAACCAATTGTATTCATTCAGGAACATACTAATGCAAAGAACAAATCCCATGCCATCGGTAGTTCCAAAGAATCATAAACTGAGCTTTCTTCTGCAACAGCAAACCACGCTGCTTAGTTAATCCGCAGCTTGGTAAGCATTGTTATGAATGGTATAGGACACTAATTAGCACGGTTCAAAAACAGAGCTATCTGTAAGTCCTGATATAACGTGAAAACTTGATGTATATTCACGAGAACACAGTTCAAGCAGAGCAGAAACAATAAGAATATCAACCAATTGTATTCATTTAAACATATTTATGCACTGAAAAAACCCATACCATCGGTAGTTACAAAAAAACTACAATCTGAGTTTTCTTCTGTAACAGCAAACTGCGCTGCTCAGTTAACCCGCAGCTTGGTAAGCACTGCTGTGAGTCATATAGGACAGTATTTAACATGGTTCAAAAACAGTGCTATCGGTGAGTCCTGATATAATGAGATAATTGATGCACATTCATGAGAACGCGTTTCAAGCAGAGCAGAAACAATTGGAAAAATAACCAATTGTATTCATTTAGGAACATATCAATGCAAAGACCAAAACCCATGCCATCGGTAGTTCCAAAGAATTATAAACTGAGCTTTCTTCTGTAACAGCAAACCGCGCTGCTCAGTTAAATCGCAGCTTGGTAAGCATTGATGTGAATGGTATAGAACACTAATTAGCACGGTTCAAAAACAGAGCTATCGGTTAGTCCTGATATAATGTGAATACTTGATGTATATTCACGAGAACACAGTTCAAGCAGAGCAGAAACAAAAAAAAATATCAACCAATTGTATTCATTTAGGAACATATTAATGCAAAGAAACACCCATGCCATCGGTTGTTCCAAAAGCTATACACTTGGCTTTCTAATTTAACAGCAAACCGCGCTGCTCAGTTAAACCGCAGCTTGGTAAGCACTGCTGTGAGTCATATAGGACAGTAATTAGCATGGTTCAAAAACAGTGCTATCGGTAAGTCCTGATATAATGTGAATACTTGATGTAGATTCATGAGAACCTAGTTCAAGCAGAGCAGAAACAATAAGAATATCAACCAATTGTATTCATTTAGGAACATATCAATGCAAAGACCAAAACCCATGCCATCGGTAGTTCCAAAGAATTATAAACTGAGCTTTCTTCTGTAACAGCAAACCGCGCTGCTCAGTTAAATCGCAGCTTGGTAAGCATTGATGTGAATGGTATAGAACACTAATTAGCACGGTTCAAAAACAGAGCTATCGGTTAGTCCTGATATAATGTGAATACTTGATGTATATTCACGAGAACACAGTTCAAGCAGAGCAGAAACAAAAAAAAATATCAACCAATTGTATTCATTTAGGAACATATTAATGCAAAGAAACACCCATGCCATCGGTTGTTCCAAAAGCTATACACTTGGCTTTCTAATTTAACAGCAAACCGCGCTGCTCAGTTAAACCGCAGCTTGGTAAGCACTGCTGTGAGTCATATAGGACAGTAATTAGCATGGTTCAAAAACAGTGCTATCGGTAAGTCCTGATATAATGTGAATACTTGATGTAGATTCATGAGAACCTAGTTCAAGCAGAGCAGAAACAATAAGAATATCAACCAATTGTATTCATTTAGGAACATATTAATGCAAAGAACAAAAACCCATGCCATCGGTAGTTCCAAAGAATCATAAACTGAGCTTTCTTCTGCAACAGCAAACTACGCTGCTTAGTTAATCCGCAGCTTGGTAAGCATTGTTATGAATGGTATAGGACACTAATTAGCACGGTTCAAAAACAGAGCTATCTGTAAGTCCTGATATAACGTGAAAACTTGATGTATATTCACGAGAACACAGTTCAAGCAGAGCAGAAACAATAAGAATATCAACCAATTGTATTCATTTAGAAACATATTTATGCACTGAAAAAACCCATACCATCGGTAGTTACAAAAAAACTACAATCTGAGTTTTCTTCTGTAACAGCAAACCGCGCTGCTCAGTTAACCCGCAGCTTGGTAAGCACTGCTGTGAGTCATATAGGACAGTATTTAACATGGTTCAAAAACAGTGCTATCGGTGAGTCCTGATATAATGAGATAATTGATGCACATTCATGAGAACGCGTTTCAAGCAGAGCAGAAACAATTGGAAAAATAACCAATTGTATTCAATTAGGAACATATCAATGCAAAGACCAAAACCCATGCCATCGGTAGTTCCAAAGAATTATAAACTGAGCTTTCTTCTGTAACAGCAAACCGCGCTGCTCAGTTAAATCGCAGCTTGGTAAGCATTGATGTGAATGGTATAGAACACTAATTAGCACGGTTCAAAAACAGAGCTATCGGTTAGTCCTGATATAATGTGAATACTTGATGTATATTCACGAGAACACAGTTCAAGCAGAGCAGAAACAAAAAAAAATATCAACCAATTGTATTCAATTAGGAACATATTAATGCAAAGAAACACCCATGCCATCGGTTGTTCCAAAAGCTATACACTTGGCTTTCTAATTTAACAGCAAACCGCGCTGCTCAGTTAAACTGCAGCTTGGTAAGCACTGCTGTGAGTCATATAGGACAGTAATTAGCATGGTTCAAAAACAGTGCTATCGGTAAGTCCTGATATAATGTGAATACTTGATGTAGATTCATGAGAACCTAGTTCAAGCAGAGCAGAAACAATAAGAATATCAACCAATTGTATTCATTTAGGAACATATTAATGCAAAGAACAAAAACCCATGCCATCGGTAGTTCCAAGGAATTATAAACTGAGCTTTCTTCTGTAACAGCAAACCGCGCTGCTTAGCTAACCCGCAGCTTGGTAAGCATTGCTATGAATGGTATAGGACACTAATTAGTACGGTTCAAAAACAGAGCTATCGGTAAGTCCTGATACAATGTGAATACTTGATGTATATTCATGAGAACACAGTTCAAGCAGAGCAGAAACAATAAGAATATCAACCAATTGTATTCATTTAGGAACATATTCATGCAAAGAACAAAAACCCATGCCATCGGTAGTTCCTTGGAATTATAAACTGAGCTTTCTTCTGTATAACAGCAAATCGCGCTGCTCAGCTAACCCGCAGCTTGGTAAGCTTTGCTACGAATGGTATAGGACACTAATTAGTACGGTTCAAAAACAGAGCTATCGGTAAGTCCTG